TGGGGAACAAAACTGAGCAAATTAAATACTATGAAATAACTAGCCGCCTCATCTACAAGATCCCTACACCAGTAGAATTGGTAGAATAAAAGCTCAACAAAATATTGGGTGAGCAAACCAAAGGTGGCGCAAAAGCAGCTGTTGGAATAAGAGAAAGGGATATGAAAGGTTTAGGCCTTTTGTGGAAAAACGAGGTTTTACATAATCAAGAAAATGAAGCCTTGGAACAATAGAAAGACAATCAGAAATCCAAAGTGTTGAGCAATTAGGTTTTGATGATTATAAACTAATGATGATTATCTATCTAACATGTATGTTAAGTTGTGCATAGAAAGAGCAAGTTATGCTTGGAACAGGATACAAGGAACCTGAGTAATGACAGGTATATATGTAAGGAACTTGAGCAATATAGGATAAGCAATAGAGGAACAAGAACAACGATAAGTGTTATGGTTGATAAGCATGATGATGGCTAAGGAACCATGAAGGTAACTATGTAAACATGTGTTTACATATGTTAGCTTCATAAGGTAAGTATCCTATACATATATAGGTTATGTATGTGTAGGAGTCTTTTAATTTAGTTAAGTTTTCTTTATTGTTTTTATAAATAAAAATCTAACCTTCTGTTTTACTTTGTTATTCTCAAAAGTTTGCTCAGTTCGTCATCATCAAAAAGGGACAACTTGTTGACCCTTATGAGGTTTTGATGATGATGTTAAGAATTGAGCAAACTTCCATTTAATACGGATTTTCTAGTGTTGTGATGTTTGCAGGTTCAGTAAGCGTTGAGGGCTGAAGTAGGAACTGAAACAGAGGAACTTTAGAAGATCCATGAGGATACAAGTAAAGTTAGAAGAAGAGTTCCAGAAATGGAACTTCCAGAAGTTTCTTAACAGGAACTTCGAAACGGGTTGTAACGACCTGGTTCCGGTGTAATGCTGGGGCAAACCCTAAGATCCAGAATATATCAAGACTAAAGGATTCCAGAACAAGAGTTTCAGAGAAGCAACATGAAGACAGAGAAATAGAAGTATATTGCTCTAGGATTCATGTAAGTATGTTGGACATAAAAGTCGGTCTGGAACAAGTCTATATAGAACCAAGGTGAACTCCAAACAGTCAATGAAATTAGAGTAACTGACTTGTCAGGAACTCAGAGACTGTCAGAGTTCAGGAACCTAATAGGAACTTAAGTATGCACGCCGTTAAAAGTCGGTTTTAATGATATATATATTTACCTTATACGTGCATATCTTTTAGGGATTTGGTTTTACTGAATAAAGATATTTATCTTCTAATAAATCCCTTTTGGAAAAAGATAAGATTGTTTAAAAAGTATTTTAAACAAAAAGATAAGTTTTGAATAAAATCTGATTTTATGCTAAGTTTATCTTATTATTATAGACAGTTTTTATTCTTAACAAAAAGATATATTTTCGGAAAACTGATTTTTAGAAAATATCTTTTAAACTTATCTTTTCAGAAAATCTATCTTTTTCAAGATGAAATGAATAATTCGAGTGTACTATAAATATGCTCATATGCATTCATTCAAAGTTGAGGCTGACGAAGTGTAGTGGTCGTGCTTAATGGTTTTGTCCTTCACCACGAAGCTAAGTCAGTCCTCCTGGTCAAAGTTCCTATCAGGTTTTGGTTACAGTACGTCCAGTGAGTTCCAGACAGGTCTCGAGTGTCCAACATATTAGTTTTATCTCTTTATTCATAGATATGTATTTAGGGATATTCAATGAGATCTTGTAATGGGAAAAAGGGTTTTGAGTGTTTTGTATTTTGGGGTGAGGTTGTGAATTCTCTTAAATTCACGTTTGTGATGAGTTTGAAATCTCGTAAAATTCGAGTGGTAGTTAGTCACCCCGAGTGTGTCTTGGGTTGCACAGTGAGAAAAAGGAACCTGAGTGTGTCTTAGGTCGAGAAAGGAACCTGAGTGTGTCTTGGGTCGAAAAAGGTGCCTGAGTTTGTCTTAGGTCTGATAGGATAGGTTCTTATCAATTAGCAAGTGTTTTAGGAGGAACTTGCGAAGCAAAGGTCTGTGTAATAGGTTGTACTAGGAGAGTTGCCTATTATAGTGGAATTTGTTTATAAGTCCCAATAGGGCCGAGGTTTTACTTCCAGTTGGGCACTGGATGGTTTCCTCGTAAAACTTGTTGTGTGCTTTAAGTTCCTTTACGTTTTGTTTTTAATTTCCGCATAAGTTCCGCGATTGGAACCTACTACCATTCACCCCCCCCCCCTATTGTAGTAGTTCATCTAAACTAACACAAAGACACAAGCAAGAAATTGAAATCTTTCCCACTTAGTAGGAGCTAACCAGACCCTATATCAAAACTGAACACAGGAAGGAGGAGAATATGGGAGAAAGATTGAATCTGTAAAATGATAAAAATGGGAAGAACCCTAGCAACCTAGGATGAACTCACTTTTTTAGTGAGAGATGCTCTCAAATTCTAGAGAGAGAAAGCTGATTGTGGTTTTCTTTTTTTATTAAGGCTCCATATATATTGATACTACTCTATAAAGTGGTATAATGGAATAATATTTAGTGATCCTAAATTATGTTCATATAAAAGGGATATCAATTAATATATTTCTAAAAATAAAAAAAATGTTACATTTAAAACAATTATTTATAATTAAAATTTACTCTGTAGATTAATAATGGCAGTTGTTCAATCTAAGATCAATATATACAAAGCATTCCCTTTATGACGATAACTTAATAAGTGGTGACTGCTTATTTTTGGGTAAGATGAAAGTAATTATTACTATAAGATGTGTAAAGTCCTCTCATATGATTTTGTTATTTTGACCATGTCTATTATATTATTCCACAATAAAATCCACTGCCTTATTTAGGAGATACATCTTCTAGATTTGTTTAGGCATATAAAGTATTTTAATTAATTATTTTTAATTAACTACTAAAAAACATATAATCATTTTATTGATAAACCGCCCTAAAAATTGATAAATGCCAACGTAAAATAAGACACCAATATTCAATGACTTTAGTATTAAGGAGTAATTAGATAATTATTTCACCTACTATTTTATTAATTTTATGTGTTTTTTTTAATTTTAACTATGCTATTGTAAAAGGCAATTTTCCAAAATGTAATCCTAACACTTTCTTTTTATTTGAGATTTAATATTTCTAGATTTTACTATAATAGTTTGGGTAGTTATTTTGTAACACCCCGTATTTAAGAATGAGGTGTTACATATTTAGAAAAAGATATTTAGAATGTTTTTTTTTGTATGGAAACATAAATGTTTAATAAAAGGTAAAAAAAAATTAAAAAAAGATAGTGAATTATAAAATGACATTTGTCAACCTTACATTGAGGCGCTTGTCTTTTAGTATAATATATAGATAGATTGATAGATAGATTCAATTTAAAGTTTTGAATATCATCCAAGTTAAAAATGACTTTAACTAATAAAGAACGTTAAATTGTCACACGCATCTTCTCCATTTTCTATAAATTAAATAAAGATACAAAAGGAAATGAATCAAAGTTTTTATTTTATTTTAAAAATTTTATTTTATATACAAAGGAAATTACTACTTAAAGATAAATAAAACAAATAATCTCAAGTGTCCATTTTTTTAAAAAAAAAAATGGAAAAATACACTTTAATAATTCCAACTATATGCGATTTACTTTTAATAATCCCAACATAAGGTTTATTATCTAATAATCCCAACTATTGGGTATGTTTGCCAAGAGTAGTCCCAATGGCCGGTAGCCTATTAAAAAGGTAAAAAAATAAAATAATAATAATAATTAAAAAAATCGATATGGCAGCATGTAATTGCTCCAAAATAAATAAATAAATTTAGAAAATATATATATATAAAAAAAAAAAAAAAAAAAAAAACCCAAAACCTATCCCTAGCCACCTCCTCCCGGCCTCCCCTTTTCCCTCACCGTGAAACCCTAAGGCCCAACATCAGGCCACCGAAAACCGATCGGCGACCTCCCCTAACCACTGCAAAAGGCAGACCGGCCTTTCCAACCCCCAAAATCATCGGCCATTTGTGGAGCGTTGCTTGAATTTGTTGGAATTGGGAGTTATGAGTTGCGTGGTTATGGTGGTCGGGTTGTGTGTGGTTGGTAATTGGTGGATATTTGGTGTTGAGCTTGAGAAGGGAGGTGACTAATTTAGGGTCAGGGTTGGGTTTTCGGTGTAGTTAGGTAGTTTTTCGGTGTAGTTAGGTAGTTTTCCGGCGTGGGTAGCAGTTTTCGGGGTGTAGGCTGCGATTTTGGGGTGGTTATTTGATGGTTTTTTGGCGCGTCAAACGACGGAGGAGGCGAGAGTGAGAATGGTCGGGATGGGGGATCAAGTGCCGGTCGCTTTTAGGGGTGAAAGGAGACGGTCGGCGGTCTAGGGGTTGGATTGGGTCTGGGCTTTGCGGTGGTGGAAAGGGACGGTGGTGGCTGGGAGGTTTTTTTGGTTTTTTTCCTTTTTTTATTTATTTTATTTATTTTCCTTTTTTACGTTTTTTTTTATTTTAGACCAATCACGTGCTGACACGTGGATTGGTTACCTATTACAACAAGTCATTGACTTGGTGTTGACCGGTTGGGACTACTCTTGGCAAACATACCCAATAGTTGGGATTATTAAGTAATAAAACTTAGTTGAGATTATTAAAATTAAATCGCTGGGATTATCAATCTGGTTGATTCTCATTAAATACGTTCTATAATACTCATTCATATTTATAAAGACAATTTTAAAGATAAATATGTAAATAAAACTTTTGGATAGCTTTTGGTCCTTATATTTATAAATAATATTCACATATACCTTCATGAAATGTTTACAAAAAACCTTCTAATTGCTTAAAATGATAAAATTTTCCACTCAACTCATAAAGTGAATCACTCCCATAACTCTTTTCAACCTGTTAAACTCATTTCTTAAAAAAAATAAATAAATTAATAAAAAAACCTATTAAACTCTTTAGGGGGTGTTTTTTTATATGCAAAGTCGGGGGCACGAAATTAGATTAAAGCAAAGTTAAGAGATACAAAAGAGTTAGGAAGGTCTATCCTCCAATATATAATACATCCCGAATGAAATCTGGTGGATCATGAAGAATTACAATAGAAGTATTCTGGTCTGGAGATTTCCTACAATACTTAGCTAAGTTGTCAGCTACTTTGTTAGAGTTTCTGCTTACATAATAAAGCTTTTCCATCTGAAGATTATCCAAGAGGTCCATGCAAGCGTTCAGAATAACCAAATTAGCATCTTTCACTACCATAGGATCTTGAATGCACTCCACCGTTTGTTTAGAATCAGAGTAGAATTCCAAAGTAAACCATCTTCTCTCAACAGCAATTTGCAACCCAGTATAAATAGCTAGCAATTCCCCCATGGCAGCAGACTTAATGCGGCACTTCATCCGGAAGCCCAACACCGAAGAACCTGCACTATCACGAAACACCCAGCAACACCAGCCCCTTCTCCCATTGAGGAAAAAGAAGCATCACAGTTAAAATTTAAATTCGGGGGTAAGGGAGGGGTCCAAGCTGACATAACAGGGGGTTGGGTTGGTTTCCAAGGATATACTCAGAGAGGTGTAGTACTCCCAAGTTAAATCTTAAGCCTCTCTAAGGGATTTATCAATGGATTAGGAGGAGTTATTGAAAATGGAGTCGTTTCTTTTAAGCCAAAGGGTCCAGATAATAAATAAGAACAAAGTATGCCAGAGGAGTTGATAAACAGAAGGAGAAGGGTGGAGAGAAAGGTTGGTGAAGATCCAATCTTGTAGGGATTGGGTGAAGAAGGCCAGAGGCATTTGGAGAAAATCCCACATACCTTTATCTTGCACACAATCCCTAAGAATATGAAGAGTATTCTCCGGGGAATCATGACAGTGAGAACAAGCATCAGAAATGGTAATATTTCTCTTGGATAAAGTTACTCTATGAGGTAACCTGTCTAAGAAGCAAAGACAAACAAAAAATTTGATTTTCGGGGCAGTTTTAATTTTCCAAATCCAGCCCAAATCAATGTTTTCCAGACAATCAGTTTTGAAAGTTTGACAGCCTTTTTATAATCAAACTTACCCTTGGAAGTCAGAGTAGAGAAGATGAAATCATTTGAGGATTGACCTTTATTTGGGATAGGGATACTCAGACAAGAATTAATAATCTCATGAGGGAGGTTAAAGGAAAGATTAGAGAAGTCCCATTGAAAGTTTGAAATACATTCATCAGCATTTTATCCTCCTCCCCTCTCTGTAAAGGACCCTAAATAAGACTTCTAAGAGACCCTGCCCTCGACCAATTATCAGACCAGACAAAGATATCCATCCCATCCCCAACACCCCATTGGATACTGGATTTAAAAATATCCCAAACCTTACCCATACTTCTCCAAAGGTGAGAACCAGCAGAAAAGGATCTGAATATTTTGTTAGGTTTGGAATATTTATCTTTTAAAACTTGAACAACAAGGTTATTTTCCTAATTAAGTAATCTCCACCAAAGTTTCAGGAGGTGAGCTTTGTCCAAGGATTTAAAACATCTAATACCCAGACCTCCCTCATCCTTGGGGAAATCAATTTTCTCCCACCCCGCCAGATGTAAACCCTTAGAGTTATCCCCTTTACCCCAAATAAACATAGCCATGAAACTGTTAAGGGAGTTTAAGACAGACATAGGCAAAATCATCTGTAAAAAGAAGGTGGGAAATAGGGGCTTGTTTTCTACCCATACAAAAATGTTTCCACACATTACTCTCCAGCTCTCTCTGAATGAGCTGCGATAAGATCTCCATAAAAATAATGAAAAGGTAAGGGGAGAGGGGGTTTCCCTGCCTAATGCTCTAGAAGGAGAAAACTCATCTATGGAAATCCCATTTACAAGAACTGAAGATGAAACAGAAGAGACACAGGACATAATGAGCTCAATGGAGGGATCATCTAAGTCAAAGAAAACTAGGGAATTTCTCAGGAACCCATTCAATTTTGTCATAGCCTTCTCAAGATCCAGTTTAAGAATAATGAACCATCCCTTTTACCTTTCCATAACTTCACAGAATGCAAAATCTCATTAACCACAATCACATTGGTCTCAGTACCCTTTCCCGGAAGAAAGCTATTTTGAGTAGGAGAGATCCTATTAGGAAGGAAAACCCTAAGTCTATTAGTTAAGACCTTAGTCACAATTTTATAAATAGTATTACAAAGACTTATGGGTCTAAATTAGGTGATGGAGGACGGATCAGGGACTTTAGGGATAATGGCTATCAGGGTTTTGTGTATGATCTCAGGGATAGTTCTACTGGCAAAAATGTCCTGAATGAAGCAGATTAGGTCAGAGCTGATAGTATCCCAAAATTTTATGTAGAAAAAAGGGTAGTACCTATCCGGACCCCGAACTTTGAATTAACCCATCTTAGAAATAACCCCCAAATCTCATGAGAAACAGGAAGCTGAGTGATAGAAATTCTGGTTCTATTCTCAGGGAGAGGAAGGGGGAAGGCATCTGAGTGGGGTGTAAACACAAAGGAGGAGGAGAATAGGGTAGAGAAATAATCCTTGATATGATTTCTAAGAAGAACAGGACCAACGTTCGAGCAAATGGAAATGACTCTATTTCTATTCCTCCTAATCAAGATAGACTTATGAAAATAAGAGGTATTCTAATCCCCCTCAACAAGCCAATTATCTCTAGATTTCATCATCTAAAACAACTCTTCTTGGTGGAGAGTCTCCAAGAGTTCCTCTTGAACACTCTTTACAAAGTCAAAGAGATAAGTAGAAAAACCGTTTGAACCTTGGGACTTTTGAATACCCTCCAATCTCGCTATCAGGCGAGCTATTTTTAGGAAAACATTGCCAAACACATTTTTATTCCAGGCTGTACAAACAGGAGACAAATCATTTAATTTAGCAAAAAAGTCTTTTTCAGTTTTATACCATTCTGAAGGAACAAGGGATATAAAGGAAGGCTCCAAATACCACATAGGTTCAAATTTGAAGGGTTTAGGGGCTTGGAAGCCAATTTTTTCGGTAAGGTTCAAAAGGATAGGGCAATGATCTGATGTAAGACCGGGGAGAACTTTAAGGTTTCTAGAAGGGAATTTAGAGACCCACTCCACGTTAACCCACGCTCTTTCCAATCTCTCAAAAATAGGCCCAATTTCTTTTATTTGTCCACGTAAACTTCTTCCCACAAAAACCCAAATCAAGCAAATGACACGACGCACACACTGAATTAAGGCATTAGCTCGGTGAATTTTAATCGGTCTACCACCAAATTTCTCATGAGAATAACAAACTTCATTAAAATCACCCAAAATAACCCACCGCAAATCCATGAAATAGTTCAGTAATTCAAATTCATCCCACAACAACTTACGTACACAAAATTTTGGATTAGCATAAATATTAGACAAGAAAAAGGTTTGAGAGGGGGATTGTACCTGAAGGATACCATGGATACCCTGAGTCGAAGTTCTGGTCGGTTCAAAAGAGAGATAATTCAACCTCTATAGAACAACGATACCTCCAGAGAGACCAGCCGGTTCCACCATCACCCACTCATCAAACGGAAGCTTGCTCAAATCTTCCCAGTGTCGGTCCTGCTCACTCTAATCTCAGAGATAATAATCAAATGGGGTTGATGCTGTTGGATAAGAAGTCTGATATTTTATAGGAAGGGAATTCTCGCGATACCCCTAACATTCTAGTATAAAATGGACATATCACAAATTGTGGGGGGGGGGGGGGGGGTGAGAGGAAAGGGATCTTGACCGGTGGTTGGATCGAATAATGTAATGCCTCGGCTCCAGGGATAGATTTATTGACCTTTCTCCGTCGAGCGCTCCTACGAATCCCCATTCCACATCCAATAGAATTTGGCGTTCTCTTCTTCTTGCCTTTACCAATTTCGTCGCATTTGTCCAGTTTCGGATCTCCACACTTACTGACAGAAATTGAAGTTGGATCATCTCGATATGACGAGGCAGAATCAACGGAGGGTCCAAGATTGAAGCAAATCTGGGGGAATAGCATGCATTGTGCTAAAAAGCTCAGATCTGCAATATTCGGGAGGTGGGCAGGAAGAAGATCTCCTTGGCTCGATAACATCTTCAAATTCATCCATTCTACTAGGACTTCTAGAAGATTGAGAATAATTTGACGGAGAACCTCCGCCGGCGCAAATTTGACATCGTCTTAGTCCTGCGTTTCCATCATGAATTGGAACGAATTCAGGTTCAGATATGAAATTCCGGTCGAGGGAGGGCACAGATCCACCACATTGGTGTTCCAAGTCAGAAAGATCTCCTGAGGGGAGGGAGGAGTCCAAGGGGGAGATGCTAATGGGTTTGGCATGTTGATTGGGGTTGAAGATGGAGAAGGGTCGAGGCTTCTCGACCCAATGTTGCGGACCGAGGAGGTTGTAAGTCTCGTAATTCGAAACCATGTTGGTCGGACAAGTCGGAGCTAAGGAGATGGAAAGGGTTTACTAAGATATTTAGATCAGAAAGAGATAGAGGAGAGGGGGTATCTTGGCTGAGAGAGGAGTTTTATTGAGAGGAGATTTAAAACAGTCTAGAGCAAGATTATGTTCTCCAGCTGATAGAGGATGAGGTGTTTCGAGGTGGGGCCCTGTCATTAAATGAGGATGGTTTAAAATTGAAATATTTTTACCCAAAACATAAATTTGGCACCCAGTAGGAGAAAGACTTTGAATTCTCTTTTCCACCCACCTGAAAACGGATCTGCCTCTTTGGCCCAAGATTGACCCATTTGACACCTCCAAGGTCCTGGTCTTTGACTTTCTGGTCACCTGGATCCAATCATCCTCACCCACTTCAAGAAAAGGCTTTTACTTCTGAGATTCTTATCAACACCATGACTCTTGTTTTTTCTTACACTCTTGACTCCCATGGCCATAACTTCGACAGAACTTGCAGAACTTCATTGCATCTTGAATATGAATTTTCTGCAGGAAATTTCCAATCCAGATTTCTTTTGGGGATTGGCTGGACAAATCAACTTGAACCAGAAGTTTGGCAAATCGAACACGATCCTTATCCATGGTTCTTACATCAATTTTCACTAACTTGCCTAGCTTGTTGCCAATTGCCATCAATCGGAAGTTCCGAAAGAGTAACCCAAAGCACCGCTGAATCAATAACAGCGTCCGAGGGGCGGAAGCCCGGTTCCCATAACTTTAAAAATAAGGGGAAACCTTCTAGCTTCCAAGGACCCCTTTCGAGGGTTGATTGAAGGTCTTCCTGGCAGCTGAACTTAATCAATAAGAAGCCTTTTCCCAGAAGAAAAATTTCCCATCCAGAGCAATGTAAAAAGGCTTTCTTTAACAGAACTTTCAGAAAAGGGAAGGAGAAAGACTTTCCAATGACTTTCCTAATTAGGGAGGAATTCCAACTTAAGCACAGCGACTCACACCGGTCTTTATCCAAAGGGATGAACACTTGATTTGAAGCATCAAACCTAAAAGGAGGAGAGGAGGCAGGAAAGGAAAGGAAAGAATAGGGGGAAAGAAGAAAGGGAAAAGGAGACAGCAGAGGAGGGGAAAGACAGAGCATCCTTGAAGGACTTGAGCTGGCAAGGCGGGGGCGAGCTTCCAGAAGATGAGCGCTGATGAGGGTTGGCCGGACTACCTGCAGAATCAGGGGGATGGGGAGACATTTTTTAACCCTTAAATTTTATGGGTTGCTTTCTCCCTTTTATAAACCTTTAAATCAATAAAAACATGACTTTGTGTTTGTTCGTACTGACTTTGAGAGAGTCAGACGACTGATATGTCTATTTTATATGGTGTTTTACCCCCGTCCCTTGGTCATAATTGGTAGTGTTTTTGGCTCGTTAGAGCCACTTTTATTACTAATTGGTGTTTTATAGTGTTTTCGTAGTTTTGGTTGAGTTTTGTAGGGAATTGCACTTTTGGAGCATTTTTCCGGATTTTCATGGAGCAACTACGGACATTGGAGGAGCACGACCGCTTTTTGTAGCCCAAGGCCAGTTAGAGTCATCGAGCCGGTGATTAAGGGCTCAACATGTGAAATACGAGCATTGGACCGAGTGGTTAAAGCCCCTAAGTGGATATCTAGATTGGACTAAGTAATAATTAAGGCTCAAACGAAGTTCAAAGCTCCAAGGTGAAGTCGGGCCCGATCGGGAAAGTATTAGGCACGATCGGGCGGATGCCCAGAATAGGAGGGAGAAGAAAAAGGAGGGCCAAATCGGACGGCCCTTCGCCCGATCGGGCATGTGTTTCTGGGGAGGCATCTTCGGCGATTTCTTAGTTTCTAATTAGGAGTAATTTTAGATTATTATTTAAGTACGATTTTAATGTTTTTGCTTAGTACCTCTTCTCTTAGACTTTCTCTCTCTACTTAGATTATTTTCTCTCTGGTTTTCTCTCTCTTACAACTCACTCTTGTTCTTGACTCAACTCTTTAATTCCGATTACTTTGGTAACGATTTCTTATTTTATTAATTTCAGCAATTTTATTACTTTGTTTCTTCATGACTTGTTTAATTGCTTTAATTAGTTTAGTTTCAATTATGTCCGAGTAGTTTAATTCTAGGGTTTATGGAGATCCATAATTAATATGAAGGGATAATTTGTTATTGTTGATTATTAATATTGCATGATAATTTCTTATTGAATTATTTTAATTCTTTACAATTGGATTATGAATCGAGCAGATGTGATTTGATCGTAAAAGTATAGCAATATTGAATTGATGAATCGAGCAGATGTTAATTTGATAGTAAAGGCTATTTTCAATAGGATTTTAGATCTAATAAATTGCGAGAGCCTGTTAATCATGTTATTTGTTCAATGTTAATTATTGATTGTTATGTTTTATCTCGGAATATTAATTATTGGTGAACCTATGACCCTAGGCCTTCTTATTATTGATTTTTTCCCTAAACTTGATCTTCGTAGTTAGTTTCTTTTTTATAACAACAAATTGGTTACTTGATAATCTAGATTATATTAATTAATTAGGAATAGAAAGACTTGTTTCCCTGTGGATTCGACCCTACTTCCCTATCTGCATTAGTTAGAGGACTTAGGTAATAGTTTTGATTAGGTGATATGACTTTAGCCTGTCAACGACATTTCTTCTTCATTAGGGGGTGTTTGGTTTGTAAGTTTTAGCTATGAGATATGAGGTTGAAATGAGTAAATCCATATCTAATTTGTGTTCAAGAAATTTAACATCGTATTTCTAAACTCACCTTAAACCCACAAAGTGTAGGAATGTTTGTTAAAGAAAAATCTGATTTTGAAACTCATATGGCTCAATGGTGTTGACCCTAAGTTTTTATGATGACTCAAGGAACCTAAGCAAACCATAACTAGTTTAACTTCTGTTTTAGCTTTGATTATGGACAGGTTTATGCTACGAGATTCTAGAGTAAGAATGGAGAATGGTTCAAAGTCTAAGTCTGCTATGGAAGGATAAAGAAGTCAATCAGATGTCATGTTTCTTGTGGGAGGAACTAAAGCTCCAGAGTTGAAGCTTTAAGACGAGTTCCTTTAGTGAGGAACTGAAGCTCCAGAGTCGAAGCTTCTCAGAGTTTCAAGGAGTCTATTTTATTTTATCTTTAATTTTAGGCTTCTTGTATTTATGCTAAGTACAATGATAATTGATAGGATTTAAGTGGATTTAATTTTATATGATAAAGATTTTTTTCCATATTTTAACTTGTTTATTTTTGAAAATTATCATGTAATTAAAATATCTTTTTTAACAAGATTTTCAGTTTTATTCAAACCTATCTTTTTCGAAAATCTGTTTTGGGAAAATATCTTTTAAACGCGTTTTTATTTTGTCAAAGAGGTTGAGAAAAATCAGGAAGTTAGTGAAGCCACTTCCTGTTAATTCAATTAGCTTGCTCCCCAAGTTCCCATTATCTACACTTCCTAATTTTTATGGAAGTTGTGGCTTAGTGGATATTAAGGCATACGACAGTTTTTAACTTCTTTCTTGTTCTATAAAAAGGCTTGGTTTATGTTGAGAAAAATACACTTGAGCATTACAATCTTTTACACTACTAGAAAACAGGTCATTTCCGACGAAAAAGAAATCCGTCGGAAATGGCGTTTCTGACGGAATTCCGTCGGAAATAGTTGTCAGAAATGGGGTTGTAGGAAAAACCACTATTTTCGTCGAAAATTCCGTCGGAAAAGTGTTTTCGACGGATTTTTCCCTCGAAAAGAGGTTTTCAGGTGCCAGAAAAATCCGTCGCAAATTCCGACGAATTCCCTTCCGTTGGAAAGTTACGATGGAATTTCCGTCGGAAAATTATTTTACGAAATTAAAAAAAACGTCACGCCACCACCGGCACGGCGTATCACCGCCTCCAACCACCACAACCCATTACCTTTACCACGACTTAACCCACCACCACCCACCACCCGAACCCAGAAATAAAAAAAAAATCTACCACGACTTAACCCACTACCCGAACCCACCCCACTTAACCAAACCCACCACCCGAACCCACCCCACTTAACCAAACCCACCACCCGAACCCACCCCACTTAACCCTAACCAACCCAGATCTGCAGCAACCACCCAAAAATTAACCCAAAAATTAACAAAAAAATACAACCACAACCACAATAGCCGAAAACCACCAGTATAACCAAAAAAAAAAACAATACATACCTTTATACGAAGTAAGATGTTAATTTCTCCTCGAATTTGGTTTAATACGGCTAAATTCGGCCATGAAACCTCTAGATCTAGAGATTTCATGGTCGAATTTTACCATATAAACCATTAATATGAAAGAAATAAAGAAAATTAGAGAGGAGAGAGGAAATTCGTGAGGAAAGAAAAGAAAAGAAGTGAGGAAAGAAGAGGAGAAGAAAGAGAAGTAAGGAAATTAAAGAAAAGAAGTGAGGAAAAGAAAGAGACGTGAGGAAGAGAGGAGAGGAAAGAGAAGCTGAAAAGAGGAGAAAGAAGAAGAAGAGAGGTGGGGTGAGAGGAGAGAGAGAGAAGTCAAAAATAAAAGGAGGGGGGGCGCCGAAAATATTAAGGTTTTGGGGGATTTTGTTTGTTTTTTTTAAACTTAAATTCCGTTAGAAAGGTATTAAATTCCGTTGGAAAAAATAACACTTCCGACGGATTTCCGTCGGAAGTGTTATATTTTCCGACAGATGTCAATTCCGTCGGAAATTTTCGACGTATTTCCGACAAAAATAAAATTCGTCGGAATTTTCGTATTTTTCGACGGATTTTAGTGTCCGTCAGAACTGTTCCGTCGGAAATGACCTGTTTTCTAGTAGTGTTAGATTTCAAAAGAGTCATAATCTACTGAAGTCCTTGAATGTCTTAGTATTTAGCATATAGAGTTTAATCTTGAGTTGTATTGGGATAGAGTTTGGGAAACTCTAGTTAGAGTTTCCCAAACTCTATCCCAATACAACTCAAGATTAAACTCTATATGCTAAGTACTAAGACACTCAAGGATTTAAGTGGATTATGACTTTTTTGAAAGCTAAAAGATTGTAATGCTTAAGTGTATTTTTCTCAACAGAAAACTAAGTCTTTTTATAGATTAAGAAGGAAGTTAAGAACTGTCGTTTGCCTTAATCTCCACTAAGCCACAACTTCCATAAAATTAGGGAGTGTAGATAATAGGAACTTGGGCAGCAAGCTATTCGAATTAACAGGAAGTGGCTTCACTGACTTCCTGATTTTTCTCAACCTCTTTGACAAAGTTAAAACGCTTTTAAAAGATATTTTCCCAAATTAGATTTTCCAAAAAGATATCTTTGAATAAAACTGAAAATCTTGTTTAAAAAGATATTTTAACTAAATGATAATTTTCGAAAATAAACAAGTTAAAATATGGAAAATAAAATTTTTTATCATATAAAATTAAATCCACTTAAATCCTATCAATTATCATTGTACTTAGCATAAATACAAGAAGCCTAAAATTAAAGACAAAATAAAATAGACTCCTTGAAACTATGAGAATCTTCGACTCTGGAGCTTCAGTTCCTCACTAAAGGAACTCGTCTTGAAGTTTCAACTCTAGAGCTTCAGTTCCTCCCACAAGGAACTTGACATCTGATTGACTTCTTTATCCTTCCATAGCAGACTTAGACTTTAAACCATGATCCATTCTTACTCTAGAATCTCGTAGCATAAATTATCAATAATCAAAGCTAAAACAAAAGTCAAACTAGTTATGGTTTGTCTAGGTTCCTTGAGTCATCATCAAAACTTAGGGTCAACAATATTCCCCCTTCTTAATGAATGACAAACCTGAGCAAACTCTAGTAAGATAAAGAAGTGACAATAAAAAATAACAAAAATTAAAAAAAAATTAGACTTGAACTATTGAACTAGTACATAAGGAACTAATACTTTTATACCTTAATAAGCAGATGGATGGAGAGCTTGTCAACAATTGAGTTTGCCTTTCTTTTCCCCCTTTTGGCTTTCATAAAAAATATTTATGCACACATACATATCTAAACACTGCACCATACTAAAATGGTTTGTATCCTAAGCATTGAACAAGACATATATAGGCAGAAATAGTATGCAAATAGTCCAAAGGCAAGTAAGGAATATATACATCACAAAAACAAACTGATGTTCCTCCTAACATCAAAAACCAAAAGAAAATACCATGATTTAATTGTTTACAGATCCAACAGAATAAAACCAAGTTCAACACATACCAAGTTAAAAAAACCAAATGTTACATAAACAAGACAGAAAGATAAAGAAATTTAGGCTTCAGGTGTAGAGGATTGATGCTCGTCAGCTGTAGTGTCATCTGGAATTGCTTC